AGGGCAGAGTTTAAAAGGTTTGAATAATTTTTTCTGGTTAGCGTTTTTTTAGCGAGTTAGTTTTCTACGGGATGGGGACGCTAACCCCATGCCCAACCCTCCTCCTTTATCCGGGCTTGGGACCGGCAGTAGCCCCCGGAGGGACTCCAGGCGGAGTTTTTGGTTAACCTAGATTTTATTATTTTACGCTCTTCATCAATAGTACGAGATCCTAGGATTCTAGACAAGGAGGTCTGCTGGTCGATTTGACAGAGTGTGCATGTTGAAGACTCCAATGTGTAGTCTGGAGAGAGGTTTCAGTAGACCTGGGACAGTGTTTTGCACACTAGAATCGTTGGCTATGGTGACACCTGGAGGGAAGCCAAAAGAGGAAGTTTAGTGTTGAAAGTCAATGTAGGAAGAATAATAGGAATTGAAGAGGGGAGCTGATTATGAATACAGTGATCCTGAGTGCTGTCGGAGTTATCAAAGCGGTTATCATTCCCCGGTTGCCCACTCCGTGGAAAGGTGCTTCTGGAGGTCCCTGAAAAGGAAATTGGGTTAGGAGTGGTCCTAATGACCTGAGAGCGTGGTCGCAGTGCCCAAGGGACAACTGCTTGACGTCGGTTACACACGACCTTTTTATGAGTAATTTTTGTGTTAGCTCCGTACTTGTTGAGACCTTACCGCTGGAGACGGATATCCGTTAGATAAGGCGGGGTGTGCATTTTTAGGATCGAACTTTTCTAACCACACCCCTCCTTGTGGGAAGGCAGCATCACTGCTGTGCTGGTTGTCTGAAGGAAACACCTTACTACTGTCACACCTCTGTACAGTTAGCAGTACGACTTCGGACCTTGGGTTTGCTGCCTTTGATCTTACCGCCCTTCAACCGACCTGTCTGGCATAGTAGGACCTTGAGGAACGATTTTCCCAGCCAGTATAGCTCGATGGGTTCATCACGATAGGCAAGCCCGACCACCACGTCAAGATAGCAGCAACGGCTGGGTCTTCAAAATAAAGAAAAGATTGGAATGAATGTCATCCGATGCCACACACCCACCACTGATGGGGATCAAAATGTTAAAGACTAGTTTTGAGGCACAAGTATATCATAGAGAAATGCCAGTAAAAAACCTGACCATCAAGACGGAGGAAATGAATACCAAGGTCGGGCTGGAAAACGGAAACGAGAATTGTGAGAGACTGACAAATCTATGTGCTTTCAACAGAGTGGTTATAGGTGGTGCTATTATTCCCTACAAACGCACCATAGAGAACCAGATCGATCACATCTTCATAAAAGGTATCGAAAGTTCATGAAAGATCTACAAAGTGAGGAGCTGATAAGCATCAGATCACCACCTGGTAGTGACGAAGAGAAACATTGGGAAAGGACCAAAGAAGCAATAACTTCAACATGCGAGGGTGCTAAGCCACAAAGGCACCAGAATAAAGGATGGAATCCATCGATAACCTGGGAAAAAATTAACGATAAGGAAAAAAAGAGCAGCTAGTAACATCCGAATAAGAGCGGAGAAGTTAAGACAGACCCGATATACAGAAGTAAAAAAGCAAATGAAAAAGAGAATTGGAGTTGGCAGGCGGAAATATGTAGAAAACCTAGTAGCGACGGCAAAGCTGCAAGAGGATGAAATATGAGAGAACCATATGGCACGACGAAGCTTGAAGGTATGTTTTGTGAGTCAGTCAGTCAGTAACAACGTAGAACTTCGTACGTACGTACATCAGTTCGAGTTGCCACACCACATTAGCACACAGATGTAGTGGTCGAGGTAAGTCTTGTGAATCAGAGACCAGCCAAGAGCAAGGAAGGCAAACCAATCACTGAGATTCAAGAGCAGTGGAACGGGTGGGTAGAACATTGAACTGTTTAATAGACTAGCTCCAGTGAATTCACCGGATATTACGTCAGTACACACAGACCTCCCTACAGATGTTACCCCAACAACAACTGGAGAAATCAACAAGGGAATCAGACAAATCAAGAATGTTAAACTAGAAGAACCAGACGGCAAAACACCTAAAGTACTGAAGTAGATATACGGGTAACTGTTCCACAATATCTTTAGAAAGATTTGGTAGGTAAATCAAATATTAGCAGTTTGGAGAGAAGGATACGTCATCAAGATACGAAAGGACGGAGACCTACAGAGGCATCATACTACTGTTAATGCCAGACAGTCTCCAACAGTGTTTCTCAACCGAATGAAAGATTCCGTAGACGCCCAACCTCGAAATCAACAGGTTGAATTTCGTAATGGTAGATCACGTACCGACGAAGTCACTATACATTGCTATATATCACCCACCTTGATCATGAGAGCATTCGACAACATGGATGGGAGAAACTTGTGGGACCTTCTTTAATTCCATGGAATACTTAAACAGATCGTCATCATTAAACGGAACTCCTACGACGGACTGTATCGCAAAGTTGTATGCGTGTGTGGGGGCAGCTGATGGATATGTTTCAAGTGGAAACTAGTCTCAGACAAACCCGTCTACTCTCATCTTTTCTCTATCCTGGTTGTTGACTGGATTATGAAGACTTTTCCATCTCAGGAGAAGCATGAAACACAGTGGAAAAATTGGATGCAGCTATACGACTCGGATATTCTAAATGATTTAACCCTTCTGTCTCATATACAATAAAAAAACGCAGATGAAAACAGCCAGTGTAACAGCAGTAGGTCTCAATATTAACAAAGGAAACAGTAGGATTTTGAAATACAACACAGAGCCCCAACCAAATCACATTTGATGAGAAAGCCCCGAAAGAGGTGGAAGCTGGTACACATTTGGGTATTATTGATAAACAACGAAAATCTGATGCAAATATGACGGCACAGATTCTCAAATCAAGAGTAGCATTCCTACAGTTGAAGAATATCACTTAAAACCTCAGTCAGTATTTTCAACATCAACGATAAAAGTTATGTTGTACGGAGCTGAAACTTGGAGAACTACAACAACCATCGTCAGAAAACTATAGATATTTATACACAGGTGTCTACATAAGATACCCCGGACCTGTGGCCAGAGACCATCAGGAACAATCGACTGTGGCAGGGAACGAACCAGCTTTCTGCTGGAGATAGATAGGATGAGCATGGCATAAATCACCAAACATCGCAACAACGAAAGAAAAAGAAAAAAAAGGCAGACATCAAGATTATGAGTAGCACTTGGGAACGACTGGAAATGAGAGCCCATGATAGAGTTCATTGGATGATCGTGGTAGGTAGTCAATATTCCATGGGGGATAACAGGTTTAAGTAAGTAGTTACTTTTAAGTACGATTGAATGTAAAGGAAGTTTACGACAAAAATTTAGTGCAGGTCCCATTAAATATCTTTTGTCCTACAGGCATGTTTCGCAATTTATTCAACAATTATTGTCCTTGATAAAAACGAGAAATAAATATTATAAAGCTATAACTGTCACATATTTTAAATAGTCATTAAATTTCAATCTTGTATCCTGTTGTCAAACTAGTCAGGTTTAAAATAGTTATTAAGTTTGTAAATGTACACACAAGTGAAGGCATGCAACACTACTAGCAATATAGTTTTATCTCATTACAAATTGGTCAGGGAACCTAATATAAAGCAACTAACAAATTCATGTACACATTTTTCGTAAATAAAAAAAATCCAACTACTGTACTGTAGCATTAAAACAAAAAATTTGGTAAGTCAACGTTAAAGTGTCCTGGAATCAATAAATTCTTTGGATATATTAATCTTTCTTACAGATTTACACAGTTTATGCTTGCCATCATTGAATTCAATGAGTAAAACATCCATTAAAGTTTAATTTTGTTAAGTTAATACATTAATTTTCAAACAGTAAATAATACTTTAGAGATTAAGAATTACATAATCTATTCTGATTAAGTATTTCGACCATTAAGTAAATGAGAGACATTAGAATTGATTTTAGATTAAAGTGAGCAAATCAAATAATCTATAAATAGATATGTTCATAATAGGTTAATCATTTTAATAAGTGGTTGCAGTATTTATACTTTATCATATACGATGGTGTTTTCGGGAACATACAAAGAAAAATCCCCGATTAATATGTCAAATCCTTAAAGTTAACGAAAAGAGGAAGTGAATTGCCACTACTGAGAAGCACTGGAAAAAAAATTGAGTGAAATTTAATTCTATTAAAGTAGGTTGAAGTTCAGTTTGTTTGTTGTTTCTGATATCCTGACGGGATTTACGGCACATTTATGATATTTCTCAGTACCTAAACTAATCTTCCACTTGCTTTTGCATTTTCAAAGTTTGTTTAGTGATCGTCGTTCCCCAAACGCCCTGAAACGACTGAGGGTGGCGAGAATCCACTCTCCCTTTCGAAATGTTCTATTCCCTGACACTGTCAGGGGACTCCTACTCACTTTCGCGATGGTGATGGTTACGAAATCAAAAGGACGAAATGTGAATGTCTGGCGTTTTAACTGGGGTGGTGGATATAGAGAATCCACCTAGTGGAGATGGGAAACCCTGATTCCAAAACAATGATGCACATGGGCTCCAAGATCCTGAGGGAAAAATGGTGCACGAACCTATTGTTGGTCACCGGTTTACCATGGGACTGCAACTCCTAACTTTTCTCCACTACCATGTGGATCAAACCTCTAAGTCAAAGGCTCAGGAAGGGGCCCCAAAGAAAACCACCTCTTTCAATTTGGACACCGAGGAAGTATCCAAGCACTCACAAATTGAATGACGAAGTGTGGCGCATATATATTTAGTGCCTTCTTGTACCTGTTTAAATAAATGAATAAACTGACCCAATTTCCCAAAAAACGTTTTGTACTGATAACGGAATACCAGTGCTATTGAACAACCCCGTATAGTAGATGTACTGATAAATAGCTGAGAATAAATTTCGAAGGACTTTTGGAACAGCCTTTAAAACCTTATTCTTTGAAATGCTGAAAATGTTAATACTGGTTGAAAAGTCAAAAGTCAAATATAGTAATATACCTTTGTTCTTGTTGGGATACATTCTGTGATCCGATCCCACCGCTCAGGTGTCCCTTTACCAATAGAGCGTATAGCGACCTCCAACTGTTGTTGTTCTACCTTAGTCCATCCATCATTACTTTTGATAGGCTTAATTTCTGTAGATTTAAGTGTTGCTTCATCTTTCTGTTGTTTGAGTTTTTTCGACTAATATATGGTTCATCAACTATGACGACGTCTGTAATTAATAATAAATTAATACAACCAACAAAATTAGCCACATAAAAGTAGACACAAATTCGCAGACAAGCCCTTTTTTAAAAATGGATTAGTATAAAAAATTAAGTAAGTATTTAAGATGTTAAGGTTACATCAGATTAGAGAGAAGTAGATAAAAATTGAAAGACAATGTATTTGAATAACGAAACACCAAACTGTTACAAACCCAATCATGTGTAAAAGCTATTCGCAAACAAGATATTAAGCAGGTAATAATAATAGTATAGAAAGTAAATACAACAATGATGGCGTATATTGGTTAAATAAGAGACGTTTAACGTAACTCACTGCAACCTAGTTAATAAAAAACACCTAGAGAGATGTACGGTGATTTTGAACCTTAGAATGAACAATATAAATCACCAAAGTTCAAGTTGATCTAACTAACAAGTTTAAGGTAGGACGAAATACATGTTATGAATTTCGTTGAGGGCCATTATCAACTAAAAGGGAAATGTAGGACTACTGTATTTTCTATCAGTTTCAAGGAGAAAAAATCTGTAGGTCTGCTTTTTCATGGTAAAATATTTCGTTAGAAATACATCAGGTTTGCTGCTTGCATGAGTCCGATTCCAAATGAACTCAATTGATGAAAATGTTATCAATACCGAACTCGTCAGTCAGACGTAACTTAGAACCTGGCATGTATTTAAATCAGTTTAAGTTGCATTACGATATTAGCACAGCAACATGTTGTTAGAGCAGATCCTAGAGTAGTAGAAATGGCAAAAGTATTAGTGGTAACAGAAAAGATTAGGCATCAAGTACAGAACTCAAAGAGAAAATCTAAATTAGTGAATTTGGAAAAATTGACCCTGGAGTTATTTTGATCTGAAATATTCCCATTTTAAAATAGGGTTTTATTCTCTACTTGTTTGATAAACTCAATTTTTTTCGATTTTATAAAATTATATTGACAGCCTTACCCCTAAGAAAACATACACGTGCGTTAAGCCGTATTTCAACAAATACTAATGCCAAATATTTCAAGACAACATACACTATCATACATGACATCTAAAGTAGTTTAAGCAAGATTGGACATGATAAATCAAGCTGATTAATTCCACACAGAACGGAACTTAAAGATTGTACGCATTCAGAGTGATCACTGTTGACAAAATTTCATACTCTACAGGAATGGTGATTTAACGATACTTTTGTTATCTCCCGTAGTACGGATTTCATTTGGAAAGTGCATAAAAATGTTCACTAGTTTTTTTTAAAAAAAGATCACAGTCATTAGTTATGTATTATCAATTGATTGATAAAAAGAATCTTATTTGAAATTAAAATGATTAAAGGACTACTTAACTTGTGTATGCTAAAAACTTACCTGAAGACAAATCATTATTCGCATTCAGTTGAGTTTCTCCATTTGTTTGATTGACAACGCAGGGTTCTTTTCGTCTCAATAAACGTTTACGAAGTCGTTTCTTTGAATATTGTTCTTCATCTGATTCGTCTGATTGATTATTACTTTGTTCAGAATTACTTTCTCCACAGAAATTATTTACATTTGTTTCAAAGGTTGGGATTTCATCAAGATTTATATCTAAATAATAACGCAATAAGTAGAAAGAAATTATTTAATGATTAAGACGTTCGGGACACATTGAGGAGAAATTCCCCATATTTAGTGTAAAAAAAAATGTTTCAGTGTAACTGGTAAAAGAATAAGTACATAGAAAAAACACTAACAAAAAGTTAGACAATTTGTCGTGGCAGAAATGACGGGAATATTGTAAACAAACCTCAAATGTACTTAAAAACCACACGAATAACACTTTATAACTATCAGTTTGTAAATATATATTTCTACATATACTGGAAGACGCAATGAAGTATCTGATATACTCGTTTCATACAGTATTCCATAAAGTAAAAACCTCTCAACTTGATAATTAGTACAAGTAAAGAGTAGACAGCTCTATTTATGTGAGATCCCTTAATGATTTGTCACTGAAGATCACTTTATGAGAAAACAGAACCATACCCTATAACAAAAATTTGGGTTTTTAATAACAGTCAGTCAGTCAGTAACAACGTAGAACTTCGTACGTACGTACATCAGTTCGAGTTGCCACACCACATTAACACAGAGATGCAGTTGTCGATTCAAATCCCGTAGTGGTAGAGGTAATAAGAGTATAAGCAGTAATCGGAAGATTAGGGTTTGGAGATGTTATTTAAAGAGTATAATCCAGTGAAATAAATTTGGAAAGAGGAAAAAAGGGACATGAAGGATTCAGAAGATTAGAATTTGAGAGAACACAGAGAGTGGATGCACCTGCGCCATTGCAAACGATTTGGAGCCATGTCATTCAGGGTCTCTAACCATCGGTTGCTATCATCTCGCGGTCCCCTACCAGGTAGTCTACACCTACCAACATGACTCAGTTCACTTGTCAGTGATTTCATGGACTTGTGCCATGTTTTGGTTTGGCCGCCCCTAGCTTTCTTCCAACCTACTCCTATACCAGTGAACATAGCACGTCGAGGTAGTCGGTCGTTGGGCATACGTAACACGTGTCCCAGCCATCTCAACTGATGAAGTTTCACTACTTCATCAATTGATTTGCCATCCTTACCTAGTACCCGTTTCCTAACAACTGTGTTACTTACTCGATGGTCCCATGATATACGAGCAATGACACTTAACTTTATTGATAACTTAGAAAAAGAAAAGGACATAATATATGGTAAATTACGGTGAAAACGTTTAACCAACCACCATTGTAGCCTCACTCAGGGCACCGATTCAAAATCCATGTATGTGATCTATCTGAGACCCGTATTCGAAACTAGTGAAGTACTTTTGTGGTGTATGCTATATAGACTGACAGATATAAGTAGTAGCAAACGGAAGTGGAACGCCTACCAGTAGAAGATTGACGTGGAGTGAACAGGAAGGAAGACAGAGAGCAAGAGGAATAACAAGTGTTGGGAGAACCATGAAGTGAGTAAAGGACAACTGAAGTAATATGTGCAAATAGTGTATTTAATGTATGATTGTCAGATTTTACGAAGGCGTTAAACAATAACGTGGTTTTCTGTGCATGAGATCTCGTTCACTATACTACAAGTTTGGTCTCCAAATGTCTCTCTGAAACATTTGTTTAGCATATGTCTATCCGGGAACCCTGTGACATCATTTGGTTTTGATGGCGTTGGTGCCGCACCAAGCGCTATTCCCCAAATGCTATGGTATGGCCGAAAGTGGGGTGGGCCCGCCCTCCCTCTCGAAATGCTCTCACATGGCCACGCGTATACAGCCTCTACCAGGGAAGTCCTGCTCACTGCCTTCTCGTGGCATTACTGTTGTTTACGAAAATGAGAGGGACGAAAGGCAAATGTCCGGCGCTTTAATCGGATTCCAAACCAATAGTGCACATGGGCTCCAGTATCCTGAGGGAACAAATGGGTGTGAACCAATCGTTAGTCACCGGTTACCATGGGAATGCATCTCCTCACGATGCTCCACTGCCTTGTGAGTCAGACCTTTAGGTCAAAGGCTCGGGTGTGGCCCCCTAAGAAAACCACCTGTTTCGGTCTGGGCGCCCGGACAGTATCACAGCACACAAACAAACAGAATGAAATGACGATACTTATGGAAAATACTATACTTGCTTCGATTAACCGTCAAACGATTCACATTGTTATTATTTACCACGTCACTTATTCACCCTTTTATTCTCCCTTTGAGTATCCTTATTTTTCAGCTTACACAGCAGCTCGGTTCTATCTAAATGATTTCGAGTCACTGCTTGGTCGAAAGTTGTATGCTACCACCGAATATGAATACTGAAGCAGTTTTTCTGAAACTACGTGCAACATTCAAACTCTGCCTTCAACGTTCGCACACTAGTGCAGGTCACACAACAGATAGGGCTGGCTATGTCTTTAGAAAGTCTTAATATCGACCGAATGCCCTGGTACGGCCGAGAGTGGGGTGAGTCCGCTCTCCCTCTCGAAATACTCTCACACGGCCACGCGTATACAGCCTCTGCCAGGGAAGTCCTACTCATTGCCTTCTCGTGGCGGGGGTGTTGTTTACGAAAATGAGGGGACGAAAAGCGAATGTCCGGCGCTTTAACCGGATCACAAACCAATGGTGCACATGGGCTCCAGTATCCTGCGGGAACAAATGGCGTATGAACCAATCTTTGGTCACCGGCTACCATGGGATTGCATCTCCTTACGATGCTCCACTGCCTTGTGGGTTAGACCTTTAGGTCAAAGGCTCGGGGAGTGGCCCCCTAAGAAAACCACCTGCTTCGGTTTGGGCACCCGGGCAGTATCACAGCCCACACACAAACGATGAACTCTGTGTCTTTGGCAACTACTTTTATCGCTCCGAAAAACAATCAGTCGATTCAAATAATTATCATTACTATTATTGTCATTATTAATACTATTATTATTACTATTATTGTCGTTATTATTATTATTATTATTTTCCACATTATTCACCCTCTTTTATACTTATACAGCGGCTCGTCTTTGGTGGAAATCCGACTGTATCTAAACGTTCTCGAGTCACTGTCCGGTTGAAAATTGTATGTTACCATCGAATATGAGTACTGAAGCAGTTTTTCTGAAACCACGTGCGCCATTCAAACTGGCTGCCTTCAACGTTCGCACACTTATGCAGGTTGGTCAACAGATAGGGCTGGCTATGTCTTTGGAAAGTCTTAATATTGATGTTTGTTGTCTATCCGAGACCCGTATTCAAGACTCTGGCGAAGTACTACAAATTCGCTCTACATCTGTCACTTCAAAAAGCTTGTTTTACGTGCGCTTATCCGGGGACCCTGTGGCATCTTCGTCTGGTCTTGCTGGCGTTGGTGTCGCACTAAGCGCTAGAGCTGAGGCAGCACTAGTCGATTGGATCCCCATTAACAGTCGGTTATGTGCTGTTAGATTAGAAAGTTCCATCAAAGTGAGAAGAAATCGGCGTGAGAAACGATGTCTTTTCGTCATCTCCGCCTATGCCCCGACAGATTGCAGCCCGGATGCAATCAAGGATGAGTTTTACCACCAGTTATCAGTTCTTCTCCAGAAAGTGCGTTCGACAGATATTGTAGTACTAGCCGGAGACTTGAATGCTCAGGTCGGGCGTCTAGGCACAGAAGAGAGTCGTTTAGGTGGCCGATGGGGACTCGTTGGTCGCAGGTCAGATAACGGGGACCGTCTACTGCAACTGTGCACAGACCACAACCTGTTTCTGGCTAGCACTAACTTTCGGCACAGTCATCGCCGATGTGCCACCTGGCGTCCTCCCTCTGCATCCCAAGCCTGGACTCAGATTGATCACATCGCGATCAGCTACCGCTGGCGTGGTTGTGTACAAGACTGCCGCTCCTTTTGGAGTACCTATCTGGACTCTGACCATGCCTTGGTCTGCGCCAATCTTGCCTTACTTTTCAGTGGACAACGAAGTGAACGCCATCAACGGATTGATGTTAGCAAGCTGGTTGCAACTTCTGTTGCAAATAAGTATCGAACCGAGCTAGCCTCTAGGCTAGCTACCACTCCACCGAAAAGTATAGATGAGCATTGGTTGCAATTGCATGACGCCATGAAAATGGCGGGAACAGTCAGTTGTGGGTTTGCGAAACGTCCCGCTTTTAAGCACTGGGTTTCTTCAGGTTCCTTACAACTCATTGAAGCCCGTCGGTCTACTCCGGGTGACCGTGAGTTTGACCATAAACGAAGGATGTTACGTAAGGAAATTGGGCAAAGCTTGCGTAAGGACCGAGAAGCCTGGTGGTCGAAGCGTGCTAATGAGCTGGAAGCAGCAGCTGCATCTGGCAACTACCGGAAGCTCTTCCAGCTCATCCGAGCCACTGGCAGCAAGAAGTCTGGTGTGAGTGAAACAATCTGCGAGGATGATGGGATGCCAATCACTAACATCCATCGACGTCTTGGACGATGGGCAGAATTTTTCGAAGGGCAGTTCAACTGTCCTGCTGCTCCGGCAACATCGGTCAGACTGTCCTGCCCTCCATGGCCGGTGACGACTGATCCACCAAACGAGGTGGAAGTCCACAAGGAACTCCAACTCTTGAAGCGTTACAAATCACCTGGCCCAGATGACTTACCTCCGGCTCTTTTTAAAGATGGTGGTGACTTTTTGACTAAGGAATTGACGACGTTGTTTACAAAGGTTTGGGAACTAGAGAGTGTGCCAACGTCATGGAATGAGTCGATAGTTGTCCCTATCTTTAAAAAGGGTTCACGTCGTTCCTGTAACAACTATCGGGGGATAAGTCTACTTCCGATTGCGTCCAAGCTATTGGCTTCCGTCATAGTTTGTAGGTTGTTCAAAACCAGAAAAAGATTGACTCGCGAGGAACAGGCTGGTTCTCGTTCTGGTCGAGGATGTATTGATCATATCTTCACCCTCCGCCAAATGTTAGAACACCGCCATACTTATCAAAGGCCAACAATCGTAGTGTTCCTTGACATCAGGGCTGCCTTCGATTCGTTGGACAGGACTGTTTTGTGGGATTGTCTATTGAAGAAGGGTGTGCCTGAGAAGTTTATTAACAT